GCTGTTGCGAGGGCGAGAGGAGCCAGGCCTACCCTGCCTGCAGGCTGGACCCTCGCCCCGCACGGGTGGCCAGTGGGAGCAGCCCTCCTCCCGCCAGCGTGCTCCACTGCATGGCAAGGTACGCCGGGTGCACGGCCGGGGCCACCCCAAGGCCATGCTGGGCTCTGTGCTCCCCCGGCGTGGGCAGGACGCTCAGGGCCTGCCCCCTGAGCGAGAGCTCTGGAGACCCTGGAGGGCAGGGAAGGCTCGGGGAGCTCCAGGCCTGGCCCGGTTTGCTCCCCTGCCTGGGAAGGAGAAGGGACCCGGCGGCCCAGACGGTGGGGCTGCTGCGCTGCATTCCTCGCGGTGCGGTACTGGAGCCAGGGTGTGAGCGCAGCCTGTGCGCAGCTCCCAGGGAGCCAGCCTGGCCCGGACCGGGCCACGCCAGGGGAAAGCCCGGGGAGCGCAGGACTCACCATTTGTTCCACGTTCTTTTTCTAGAAGAGAACAAGACAAGCGCCCGGTGAGCAGGCCCAGTGACACCCGCTACGTGGGCAGGGGGAGCCCGGGGCCTGAGGCCAGGCGATACTCACAATCATGTCCAGGATGGTATCGATGGTGTACTCCACCGAGTTGGTTGCCGTGAAGTTGCGTCGGTGGCTGTTGTCGGACTCACCATTTGTTCCACGTTCTTTTTCTAGAAGAGAACAAGACAAGCGCCCGGTGAGCAGGCCCAGTGACACCCGCTACGTGGGCAGGGGGAGCCCGGGGCCTGAGGCCAGGCGATACTCACAATCATGTCCAGGATGGTATCGATGGTGTACTCCACCGAGTTGGTTGCCGTGAAGTTGCGTCGGTGGCTGTTGTCGGGAACCAGCCGGGAAGCCACAAGGTTGGGCTCGAGGCCCTAGGCTACCTGCCAGGTGCCCACGGCCCGGCCCGAGAACATTCCCGCGGGGCTCTGCTGCTCTTGCTCGGCCCAGCCGGGGCAATTGGCTCAGGGCTGGAGCCGTTTCCCCAGCGCCGACGTGGGGTGTCAGACCTTGGCGCTGCCTTGGGGACCATCTCTGTATTAACGGAAGGTGCTGGGCCAGAGTCTCAGCTGGGGTAACCCGGCACTGCTTCACGGGGGCACCGTTTCTAATCGGCCACCCCACCCAGCTCCTTCCCAAGGCTGCTGCAGCCACGGGCCCCTGCCCCGAGAGGAGTTGTGTGGCTGTGCTAAGGACTATCCGGTCTCTTGCTCCTCCCTGCACCCCAGCCGTGAAAGCCCCCAGCCCCGTGGCCCATGCGTACCAGATGGTCAGGAGAGATGGCAACAGAGAACACTTTGATCCCCAGATGTTTTGCTTCGTTGGCAGCATCTTCCAGGCCCCCGCAGGGCTCCTTGTAGCCTTCCAAGGGGTGGCCGTCGGTCACCACGATCAGGTACTTGTTCTCCTTCTGGTGGGAGCCCCTGGAACATCCCAAGTGCCATTGACTTCCTTTGCAATTCTTCTACACCCCGTGGCCTCTCTCTGACCATCAGCCTCCCCTGGGACTAACCAGTCGGGGGCTGGAAAAGTGCTAGTGTCTAGACACAGACGTTGCACGGCCCACGTGAACGACGTCGGTGGGGGAGCTCTGTAGTCTCCGGTGGAGCGCTGCCTTGCACTAGAGAGGTGCCCGTCCTCCCTGCCGGCCCTTCCTTCCCCCAGCGAGCCCTGCAAAGAGCCCTCTCCCCCCGGCAGGCCCCTGGGACTAACCAGTCGGGGGCTGGAAAAGTGCTAGTGTCTAGACACAGACGTTGCACGGCCCACGTGAACGACGTCGGTGGGGGAGCTCTGTAGTCTCCGGTGGAGCGCTGCCTTGCACTAGAGAGGTGCCCGTCCTCCCTGCCGGCCCTTCCTTCCCCCAGCGAGCCCTGCAAAGAGCCCTCTCCCCCCGGCAGGCCCCTGCCACAAGCGGGACCGCACCGTGCCGGCGGCGGGGAACGGGCCTGTCTCTGTAGGGCTCCCAGCCCAGTGGCTGGCGGCCCGGGAGGGGGGGGGG